CGCAGAGAGACACAGGATTGGCTGAGGCCAGGTGGTCCAACATGTCTGCGCCCTGATCCGACGCCACACCACACCACACAGTCACCACACCACAATCTACGCAACCTTTCTATGTTTTGTTTTTTTTGCCCTCAGTCACTAATGCTATTGGATCGTTTCGTATTTGCACCAAATTTTTATCTCTCTGTTGTTTGGCTAATACATTAGTTGTTTAAATGTTAACACAATGTGCTGTTCTGTAGTTTTCAGCACTCTTTATTCTGTTTTTTTTGTAATATTTTGGGGTCTGGCTCCTAAAATTTTTTTCGAGTAGTATACTTGCGGACGTTTCTTCCCCTGTAGGGTCGAATATAATATAAAAATATATATACCAATGTTCTAGGTTCAAATATCTCTGTTACTTTTTTACTCAATAATAATTTATGCCATTATTTTCAGTGTTATATTGTCTCTTTTAGAGAAAAATGGCTATACATCCCGTTGATTTTGATATCTATGAGTTTTTAACCCGAATTCATGGCAATAAACCCCCGTACAGGTGCCCAGCTGATGGATGTCGCCGAACTTTCAAATCTTTTAAAGGTTGGTACTGTGTATCTTTCATTTTAAGATCCTGTTACGTGTTTAAACTATCTCTATTAATTGTCTTGCCTTTCGCAGCTATCCAGCAGCACATGGAGTGTCATCGTGCTCCGGATCCCGTGGATATACCAGCGACGTTTATTAGTGCACCTGAACATACCTCATCAGCCCACTCTAGATCTCTGTACCGCAACAGCAAATTCCCTTCTATGCTCTTCCCTGATTCTCAGAAATGTGTTGTTTTCAATTTGACTGGCGTGGGAATCTCTAGTGTACGCTGCAGCATCCATGTGCCGCTGCATTTTTCCTTTGATTTTTCCAATAGCGATGATCAACTGCTTAATAAATTGGAACCAGTAGCATTGAGACGGATGAAAAATATCAAGTCGCGAGTTTCTCAGCCAGCCCTCATGCCTATTGATTCATGCAATTCGATTTCCCAGAGCTCAAATGAATGCTCCGCTGTTGAAAACCACGATAGGTCATCAGCTAAGGTCCCCATTCCACAGTTCGAGATTGATCAAAATTTTATCTGCCAACGGAAACCAGCACCGTGGAAGGATGGATGCGCCTACATGCGGTTTATAGAACGCTCTTTTGATGAGCTGGACGAAATTGTCGAATATGACCTCGACGAAGAAGTAGGTGTTTTATTAGTTATCACTACCTCATATTTCCCAACTGTTATTGTTTTCTTGCTTTTTCTGTTAGGATCTTTTCTGGCTTGAAAAAATAAATGCTGACCGGATGTCTAAAATGATGGAGCCTATTGAGCAGTCAACGCTTGAATGGGTACTTGATCGTTTTGAAAAAGAAGCCCGTTTTCGAACCACTACTGAAAATGGCGCTGGTTTGACCACATCTGTAATGATGGCAGGGATAGACGATGACGCAGTGTGCGCCGTATGCCAGGACGGGACTTGTGAGAATACTAACGTTATTCTTTTTTGTGATGTCTGTAACCTTGCCGTACACCAGGTATGTTATTTTTTTCAATTTACTTGAACCATCTGCTAATGATTTAACCGATGTCAGTAATTTAGGAGTGCTACGGAGTGCCATACGTACCCGAAGGTCCCTGGTTATGTCGTAAATGTCTACATTCGCCTAGTGAGCCGATTTCTTGTTGCCTGTGTCCAAATATTGGTGGTGCTTTCAAAAAAACCTCGGACGATCGATGGGCCCACGTTATTTGTGGTCTTTGGGTTCCTGAAGTGATGTTTGCCAACTTGACCTTTCTCGAACCTCTTGAAGATATTGACAAGATCGCGCCTGCAAGGTTTGTCGTGTTTGTACAATTCCTGTCCTGCATTTTTAGATTGATATTTGCTGTATCTATTTGATGAGCCGAACTGTAATTGTGTCGATAAATATTTAAGGTTTATGTAAAATGTATATAATGTTCCATTGCTAATGGTTATCGAGGTAAAATCTAACATGAAATGTCAGCTGATTCAATTTGAAAATAAAAAGTCGTTTGTGCATCGGGTTTCTTTTAGTTACAAGTAGATATCTTATCCCAGTTTGTCAAGAATTAGTGTAGTCTGTTAATGATCTCTTTGGTATGCAAAGCAAGCAGTTTTTGTTTTCGTTCATTTCTAAAGACTGACCACTTGTTGGGGCTTTGAATGGTCATTGTTTGTATAAATGTACTACAGGTGGAGACTGCAGTGTTTCATCTGCAAACAACGGAATGTGGGTGCTTGTATCCAGTGCCACAAACCAAGCTGCTATCGGGCTTTCCATGTGACCTGTGCTCAGCAGGCTGGTTTGTATATGAAGATTGAACAGAGTGACGACCCGAGTGACTTGGGCATACGCAAGAACGCGTTCTGCGATCTGCATTGTCCTCCCTCCCACTTTAAGGTGTGCTTTCTTTTAATGTGTCTGTACTGCTGATGCCCCTCAAATCGGCGTTTGTCTATCAAGACGGCTTCATCTCCCAACTTTAGTGCTTTAAGAATCCGTAACATTGTTTTTTGTAGGAAAACAAGCTACCTGAGATTTTGTCTATTCCATCTTTTCTCACTCCTACTTGTGTAAAGCGGCTATTGGTAGACTTCCTTTGGAGTACTTAGTCATGTACACTTATGCACTTCCAGCATGTTTTCCTTCAAGATTGGCTGACATCAGTCTCGCGAGTTACCACAGGGGTCGTGTTCTGGATGCTTGTAAACTTCCATAATAATTAGTTTTATAGACGTTTGAGATAATTTTGGGTTCGGAAAACTGCTTTCATGCTTATGCTGAGGTTGGTCTCTCAAGTTGAATTAGTTGCGTGATTTTCTATGTCGGCTATGATTTTTGATGCAACTTCTAATCTTTTAACATTTCGAATCCACAATGTGTAGGCTTTTCCATGGGTCATACTTTATTGTTTGCATTTATAGTTAACTAGGTTTTTTAATCTCTTTTTTAATGAAAACTATTTTATTTGTTCCAGTGGCCCCATTTCACAATGATTGAATCCTTTCCATGTTTTTTGTGTAGGTCAGATGGTGTTGATTTTATTTATTCCGGTACACAAATTTTAAGTTGATTTATATCTTGTAACTGATGGATAAGTTTGTTTTTATAAATTATGTTGATCTAGTAAATGTAGTGACTAAATATACTTTAAAATCTGGAAATTATTTTAATCTTGTTAGTCCTTTTCTTGAAGTTTGTTCGTTAACGTCATCTTTATTTCCACGGCGACTTTTTCATATTTGAAAGGTTTATGCTTTCCAGGACGATTGGCGCCTACTGTGGTGCTTTGAGTAGTGTCTCAGCCATAGGTTTAGTCTCCCTACCCTTTTTATCGTTTGTTGTCCTAAGCAGTTTTTCCTGTCGCCACTGCTAATTTACTTGTAACTTGTACAGAACTAATGGAATCGTGTTTAGTTTGCTCATACGTTAACGGTGATCCACACCCGCAATTAGGTTTAACGCTGTGCATCACTTGATGGGGCTTCCTATTTGTCTTTTCCCTACCCCCAGGCCAATGCACATAAGGGAATGTACGCTCACTCAGACGAAGAGGGGGCATCGAAAGATGCGGACGAGGAAACAGTAAAAAGGACAAAAATCAGAAACGCCCGCAAAGTCCTCGCTGAAAGGCGCAATTCCAAGCCCCTCGTTTGTGTCCCCATGGTGCCAAAATCGAAAACTGACGTGAGTTTTTTCACTTTGCTATTTCCACCTTGCGAAGCGTTTCCTGTATTTGCTTTTTTCTGTTATTTAGCTCATATTTTCTGAGCTAACAGGAGTGAAGCGTGGCAGTGTCGAGTTCTTTCAAAGGGTTTACGCCTTCTGGAAGTTAAAACGTGAAGTCCGATGTGGCGTGCCCTTACTCAAGCGACTGCAAGCCAGTTCGGTAAACCGCGGTGTTGCATCTCTCGTAAGTACCATTATCACCCCTCCTCTGTGTTAGCGAATTTTTAAGTAGTTGACTTGATGTGTCCTTGCCTTCTTCGACTCAAATTCCTATTGCTGTTTGTGTTGGTCTTAGATGAGGCACTTCATGCTTGTCCTATTGCCTCAAAAATAAGTTCTGTGTAGTGTCAGAAAACGTTTTTCAGTATACCTTAGCACGACTGCAATGCCATAATGGGATTGGAAGTTTTCGACAGGATCACTTTAATGCGTATGTAACACCTATGTCGGGGATTCTGCTCACATGCATCAAGGCATAAATTTGACTCGATCCAACCTCAAAATCACCAAACTTGACACGCCGAAACCGAAATTCGAAACATTTTTTTGCTGAAAAACATTCACTGGTTGCGTTGAAAGCAAGTTGTTACCCCAGACACCCTATTACAAAGTATCCTTTAGATTTTGTACTGAGAACCGGTTGAAAGTACCCTTAATTGAAATTTCGTGAGACAGTGAGCTGGCACATATCTCTACTCTGAGGTCTTTTTTTCTTAATCCCTACATGAATTAAAACGCAATGTGCATTTGGTAAGTTGCGATGGATCGAACGTGTGGTTTTCCTGTTGATGAAGTGGCGCACTAAATGTACGGGCGGGAGATTGAGAAGCGTGTAGTTAATAAGCTGTCCGTTGAAGTTCGTTACATTTGAGGCAAATTATGAAATCCTTTGGTCCATTTTCTGAAGATGTGCTTCGTAATAAATCAGGCAACTTTTCAGTGACCCTACTTGTCAAAAAGACGCATAATATAGACAGCTGTTCAGTGAAACCAGTGTTAGAATTAACACGAAACTTGTATCGAAAAAAGGACGTCTGAGCAAGGTAGATTTAGAAGGCAGCCTCATAAATAGAAACTTTGCAACATCTCATGTTTTGTTGACCTAGTGCAAATATCACCCTTAAGAATCAAAAGTAACGCCTCTTTTCTTGTACCATCCTGTTCCCCTCTATTGTAAAAGGCGGCGGCAGCAGCAGCTGGGGACGAGGAAGCCCAAAAGATGCGCAGCCAATTAATTTTCTGGCAGCGTCTCCGTCAGGATCTCGAGCGGGCTCGCCTACTCTCGGAGCTGACGCGCAAAAGGGAGCGTGTCAAGCGCGAGATTTTGCGAACTACCCTTGCCCAGTTGGAGTGTAGGCTAAGACCAACTTTTCGAGCGCTCACTGACCTCATTACCCAATTACAGGCATGTATTCCTTGTTGCTTTCTGTGCTTTATTTGTCGGATTACTGGCCTCTTGTGAATAAAAGTCAAAACAGTGCTTGTGTTACATTTTGTAGCAATTTGGACAAGACACGATGGTTTTTTCCTGATTTTAATAATGGTGAATATCTAGCTATATCTAATACCACTTTTCAATGAATTTTAGCTGTTAAATCGTTACGATTATTTGCAACTAATATGGATTTTCTTCACAGTCTAAGGATGTGCGGAACTTCTTCGCAAATCCTGTCTCGACGGACGTTGCGCCCGACTACTGCACAGTAATTAAACAGCCCATGGACTTCGAAACAATGAAGCGGAAATGTGCAGACCATCAATACCTCTGCGTAGCAGACGTGTTCAATGACTTTAGTCTCATTGTCAACAACTGTTGTACGTATAACGGAAGCGACACAACTTATTACAAGGCTGCAGTATCTTTATCTGATCAGGTACTTTGCTGAAATCGAGGTTAATGCCTCGTTCAACTATGAATCATTTAATTTCTCGTGCATATTTATTATTGGCACATGATGTTTGTGTAAGCCGCTATTTTTACCAACTTCCCTTTAGTGTGCTTCCATCTTCAAAGAGGCTTATGAAAATGAACACTTTGACTTATTCGATGAACTAGAGGAAGACTTGCGGCAGCCTTTATCATCATCCGTCGAGTCCAGTAGACTACCTGCAGACGAGGTTAAACGCGACTCTCCCCTGTCTCCTACCATACATGAAGGGGGAAAGCAGGAATCGGAAACCTCGTCTACCGAGCTACGCAGTAGACTTCGATCTCGTGGAGCAAAGGCACACTTACCTCCCCTCATCGCCACAGCCCTCTCAGAACCCACTCCTAAAAAACGGTACTTATTAAATTGTTCATAATCAATGCTCATTAATCACGATGCCACCATAAAACCGTATTGTTTGTATGTTTTTTTTTCGATCGCTTACTGCCAGATTTCGAACGGAACTATCCAGTGTAGCCATTCACAGAAATTACTTGAGATGTTTTTTTCGCTTTCAGGCGCTTAACAGTAGTGTCGAGCTCCTCTCCCTTACAAGTTCAACGTCTTCGTCGACTGTATGTGCCGCAGCCTTTAACTCTTGCTTCTGATCCTCCACCAGATTATCAGCTTCCTATTAGAGGAAATCGCCTGGCAGCTGCCACTTCTCCAACCAACGCCGCTGAGTTGCTTGCTCGTCAGGCTGAATCAACTGGTACCCTAGGAACTCTCCAATTACCACAATCCCCCGATCGCACGCGTCCTGCTTTTACCATTTACCGATCAAAACTAAGTACCAAAGAAGACGATAATGATGAAGAAAGTGAAGATTCGGAAGAGGAATCGGAAGAGGGTAGTGATTCCGAAGATACACAAGACACTATCTCTGCCACGGCGGTTGCAAAAAGTGTGTCTGCTGATGCAGAGGATGGAAGGAGAACGTCCAGAACCAGATCAGGCAGTTGTGCCTCGCTGGTCACCTCAGTTTTTGGCACGAGCAAGTCAGCCATGAAAAAGGTAAGAATTCTATTTACTGCTTATCACGAAGATAACAAATGGCGTCATTGCCCTCCGTTGCAATCGTAAGTAGTATCGAGCGGCGTAGCTAAAGTGTGGTTTGCGTTCACGTGGATAGGTTTTCTAAAAGTACTTCGTTTCTAGTTTATTCAAGGTCTGTTAACTTTTAGGTAAGGACACCTTCAGCAAAAGCTTTTCCAAAATCCTCAACAAAGAAATCGACGAAAACTCGAATGACCAGGAGTAAACGGCATATCCATCGACCAGCCTTGACTTTATCCAAGATGTCGCTGCTCAAGAATCCTGGTCGATCTGTCGTTAAGCAAAAACCATCCTTACTAAAGAAACAGCAGAAGGAAATTTCGGAAGAAAGAGGACAGCAGAGACCTAACACTGGGACTGTTGACACCAATAGACCCTTGGGGAGTACCAAGGAGGGCCCACAAAAGGGGCAGTCGGCCCAATCGGGAGTCAAACCAGGTCACGGGGAGGGGAATTTTGAGCCTCTTGACTTAGTTTGGGCAAAGTGTCGTGGATCTCCCTGGTATCCTGCCTTAGTAAGTAGTGAGCCTTTTAGGTTGAATTCTGTATCAGCCGTTTCAAATTTTGCGATGATGAACTGAAGCTAAATTACGTGTTTTTTTTTTAATTTCACAACATCATTTTTTCCTTAACTATTAACTTCCAAGTGTGTAACGTAAATTTTTTTGAAACATCGGGTTGGATGCAGTTGAGTGTAATTCTATTCGTTTGGGCTAGCAGTTAGGTGCATTCTACAGGACCTTTAGGCGTTACTGAATGATAATTTTCACGTCGTTGGAATGAAGCACTCCGTCGTTTGCTGATTCCGTATATATATTTTCGAAGCGCGCCTTTATTCGTGTTGAAAACTACAGTGCGCGAAAAATACAATAAACAAAGCTATGAATAAAAAATCGGAAGAAATTTATCACCTTAATCAAATCCTCCTGTAACAAGTAAATTCCTAAGATGCCCAAAGTCCATGCAAGCATTACTGATTTCTTGTGGTAATTTTGATGTGTTAACAATAAATCGTTCTCAATGATAAATTTGGCATCATTACAATTGCCATTCGTGACTATTACTTCTAAGTTATAACCAGCGTTTAGGATCATTTGACAAACCTCATAAACTACCCATTTAACTTGTCTCCCAATTTAATATTTTCCCATTTATTATGCTTTATGTTTTGAACATACATCTTCCATTGCACGAGCTCCACCATTTCACTTTTCTAAATATAGATTATCGATCCAACTGCATCAACCGAGGACTACAATCACAATGGGGTGCCCATTCCCACGCCACCGGAATCCGTCCTCAATGTTGGGTCCGGCGCACCTTCGTCTTTTGTGAATGCATTACGCGGACCTGGCTCACTAAGCCCAAGTTCAGTTACATGTTCTTCCCCAGCACCAGTTGCAGCTCCGAATTCGCCCCCGGTTAACCAGCAGCCCCCGACCTTCCTCGTGCTGTTCTTTGATGGCAAGCGCACCTGGCAATGGCTGCCTCGTGAAAAACTTCTCCCCCTAGCTACCAATACAGCTATCGATGATGAAAAACTACATGAAGCTAAGAGGAGCAAACTAAAGCAGTCGGTAGGATTGTGAGGACTTATACATTACTGTAGTAAGCGTTCCCATGGTAGAGGCAAGTGCGCGAGGGGCCTCGTAGAATCGAATATAAATGCACACCGAAGTTCTTTTCCTTCCTAACTCATTCCCTTTTGACTAATTAAGCATGGACATTAGTGCATTGCGCCGATTTTGTGCACACCTACTTCTAGTCTCGGGGAAAAACTTCAAAGACCACTAACGGCCATTTATCACCAATTAGAAAATCCCGATCACTGAACGGGAAACTCTCGATCTTATTCTCCGTGGTATCTGATACAGCTCTTGATTTGTTTTAGGTTGTGAAAGCGTATGGCCGGGCGATAGAGCATTACTGCAAGGTCCATGGACGACCATACCCCTTCACGGACTCGTGCTCGGACGAAGTGGCAGCATTCCGATCCTAAAAATTTCTGCTGCTTTCATATGTACATGCTTCACTCGCTCGACAAATAAATTTATCCCTATGTGTCGATTGCTTCAACTGAATGGATAAAAGACGACCGTGTACATCAGCGGGCAAGACGTTTAAAGTGCAGGTGGTTCTTGAGCCAACAAAAGCTGAGTGGAACATGGAACAAACGTTGCAACTGTAGACACGTCACTAGCTTTTACCACGGACTAGGCACTCGTAAAAATTGCTGACAAACGATACTCAATACTTTACTAATGCAAGGCTCTCTACGAGTCCATTAGATTATTGACGCAGTGGCTTTATTTGCATAATTGCTGCAGGAAGGAATTCTATACAACCAAGTGATCAAGGAAAATGATAGGGACATGGCGCCGTGGCACTTTTTTTAAATAAGGCTACAGAAATATGCGGAAATAAGTATCAGGTGTCCCAGGTCTGTAATTCGTGACAACATGAAAAGAACTACAGATCATAACCCACCAGACTACTAGCGGTGTCTATCAGAAAGTAAAGTTGGACCATTGTCGAAAACAATGAGAACATCACCTGCGACAGCAACATATCGAATAAGGCAAGACAATTCCAAGGCAATTTCTCCAATTTATTTACAACTAGAAGAAATATCCGAGTATAACGCCACCAAGATGTTTTTTCCTTGCTTCTTCATGATCCATCAAACCTCCACTTGTAGTGAGTACGATGTAACTAGCAAATAATCGTTAAAAAATAAACGTACCCAAACTGGCGTGACGGAAGGAGATTGCGTGTCCAGTTTTCAGTATCTCGAACACCCATCTTAAAACGTGGACTGATCACACCGCACTTGTTAAGACGGCCGTTCAGCTGCACGACAATTTTACCAGATCTGTGATCGTCAACGATCTCGAATTCACCAATATATCCCTTGCGCTGCATGACTTTCAGAAAGCGCACAATAACTTTCGAGCACGGACGAATCATAACCTGTCTTTTTTTCCTGCGTTCGGCATTATTAATACACTTTAAAGCATCTGCCAGGACGTTAACGCGAACCATCTCCTCTAAACGAGAGAACGAAACCGCAGCGTGCTAATACGAACCTAAAGTGGCGCGCTAGCTTATTTAAACTAACAAAAGCATTGTTCAGAGATTGGATAATATTAATTTCTGCGACAGAAAAACAACTATGTAACTAATTTGTGTCTGCTGTTGCTAAGTATATAAATTAGTCTTAGATTTAAAAAATTAAAGAAATATAAGCCATTTTACAAACACATACCTACTCTGACTAAGTCAATGGAAGCATTACAATTTATTCCGATTGACAAGTAATATAGATTTTGCAAAATAAGAACTCAAATTATGTCCAAGCTACAGAAATCAATCAAGGAATTTCGATTCATTGGTAAAAAAACCAAATTTTGTTGCAATCTCCACCAAATACTTCGGAAAATGCACTCATTTTGCTGAATTTGTCTGAGCCGCAAGCGTAATTTGGGTGTTAACAGAGTGGAAAAAAAGCAAGGCATTTTAAGTGTTTAGAAAATTGCTGAGAGAGTTTACTATTGGTCGATAAATTTGCGAATTCTTAAATTGTGTGCTGTAAAAGGAGGCTTAAAGAATGATCTTGTATTAAATTAACTTACAAATTAGGAAAGGCACAATATGTGACACAAAATAATTGTGTGACTTAATATAAGTTACAACTATGGGTCATACGGTATTGATCTTAGTCATAAAGTGATTGCTGGCCGCATTTTTATCTAATATTAGAAATTTGATGTTGATTTACTCCAAGCAACAGTTGATGTGAAGAGCTTTGGAAGAAACTTCATTTAACCTAAGCTCAGGAACGCGAGCGACTGAACGTTTCTAAGGATGCGTTGTCGAAATTATAAATTTGCACACTACTCATCTCCGTTATCGAAGTATAGAAATAGACAAGTCTTGAAATTTAAGTGTAATTTTAAACGGTTGTGATCCAAGCAATGCTGCTACTATTTATTCATATTATTTTTGCAACTAACAGACACTGCACGATTCGTTAACACTAGAATCGGAGATGCAGACCTTCAAAAAATTGGACTTAGAAGAATATGTACTCCATGTAGACTCAGTATTGAACACAAGTAATTTTTAGCAGGTAATGCCTACAAAAATAGGCGGTAATTAGTCTATATGTCCTCTAAATTCACATGCACCAGGATTGGGTCAATTTGAAGCAACAGTACGGCTACATTGACCGTAGTGGACATTCGTGAACGAAATTCTGTAAAACGTTCCCAAGTCAAAGGTATTAGTCGTATTTATCCGGAGACAACACGCCAACGACGCAATTAAAGGTAATGAAATGATTAATCAAAAGTATGGAGGCAAATGTTAAATCGCTATCAAACCAGATTTGTGTTTAACTGATCGCATGCACAATACATTTTTTAGCATCAATCAAAATAGCTTATGAAAAAAATTTTTAAATTAACGAAACGATGACATCAGAGTTGGAACCGACAAATTATTTTAGTTTTTATTGTGTTTTCGTTGCTTTAAAGATAAGCAAAACTTAAATGACATTCTCATTTAAATGATAGTTTGGTATTCTGGAATGTATTAAGTTCCTTTAACATTTCTTCTATCCCATAACTGGTAGTCAATGTTGAATGAGCAGATATCAAGAAGGATAGAAATAATAGCCCATTTTACTAGTTAAACCCCACGCGGTAGGTTCTTTACAAATTTACTTTAATTTACCATTGTTTTAGAAAAAAATATTTGGGAATAAAACAGCAAGGATGTACCTTTTAAAACGAGTGCTAAAAATAAAGACAATCAAATATATTGAAGGAAAAATATGAGCAAGATGTACATAGAGTCTATTATACTGGCCCTTAGACATTTATTTTTGCGTTCTTGAGAATAATACACTAATTTTTTTGTAGAGAGCATAACTGGACGAATAAATCATAATTATTGTACAGATATGCGAAATTCTAAATCTATCTTTTTGACAGACTTTTTACTAAACTTTATTGTGAGAAAAGGAGCACAATTCCTGGTATTTAATGATCTTCTGTTTTTTCATAAGCATTATAATTTTTTTTGGATCACTTATGACTTGCAGTTTGTTTACATACATTCTAAGTTTATCGCCTGCTTCGAGTGGAACTGCTTGTGTTGCACATTGTTGAGGTGTCTAAATCGCCTTAAGCATGGATAATCTGGATAAAAAGAAGCACAGAGCTCCAAAAAGCGGCGCAAAGGCGTTGAAAAAAACAAAAAATCCTGCAGAAGTTGTGTCAAGAAACCCGAAAGGAGCTGCTGTGCAGCACACAGTTAAGGCCGCCAGAAAAGTTAGGAAGACGTTGGATCGAGAAACAAAAAAGTATCACATTCAGTGTGTCGCCGACGCGGCCGCTGTGGATTGGTCTTCGCCTTTGATAGTTGGTATAGTCGGCCCTCCAAAATGTGGAAAGTCCACCTTATTGCGTGCGTTGATTAAACACTTCGGGCGCCAGCTTGTTCCTGTAGTTACAGGTCCAATCACCGTTGTTGTTGGCAAAAAGTTTAAGATGACGTTCATAGAATGCGATTGTAACATTAACAGCATGATAGATGTTGCCAAGGTAGCCGATATTGTGTTGCTCGTTGTCAGCGTTCACCGGGGCCTCGAGATGTACCATTTCGAATTTATTAGTATGCTGCAGACTCATGGGATGCCTCGAGTTATCCCTGTTCTCAATCATCTGGACCAATTTAAGGAATCAAGTGCGTCAAGGGCTCTGCGGAAGAAGATAAAGCAGCGATTGTGGACTGATATTTCCGCAAAGATTTTTTTGCTCTCTCGTTTCATTCCGAAAAAGAGTAAGCTAATTCTGTCAATCAATACTTATTTTATGTAGCTTTCAACCACGCTCTAGGAGTTTGTGAGGGTAAGGAAGTTGAGGGCGATTATTTGCCTGCCGAAATCCAACGACTCGCCCGATTGATGGTTGTGAAAACCCCAAGGCCCTCGGACTGGCGTGTTGGTCATCCCTATATGTTGGTAGACCGTCTGGAAGATGTAACGAATCCGCAAATTTTAAATGAAAATGCGAAGGCAGACCGTGTTATCAGCCTATATGGTTGGATAAAGGGTGCTCCAATTGAGACCTCTTCCAGTAATCCTATCATACACATTCCCGGTCTTGGTGATTTCCCAGTTGCTGAATGTACCCGCCAAGAAGATCCTTGTCCCACCCCAGCGCAGCTTTCTCAAAATCTTTCATCAACTGAAGAGGCGACTGAGATTAAGCTAAAGAAGCGCCTATCGGAGGGTGAAAGAAAAGTATGGATCTCTTAATAAAGTTACTTTTAAGGCGCAATTTTTATTGGCTAAACAAGTCATGATTTTTTCTATGCAGTAAAATATTACCTACTAAAGTTTGAGTTAGCGTCACTGATTGTCCAATCCTTTCATTATTATTTTAGTTATATGCCCCTATGTCAAGTATTGGTGGCGTTCTCTTTGACCGCGATGCCACTTACATAGATCTTGGCGGTAGTCACCACTTAGGAGGAGGACGACTCTCTTCGGGTAGACGTGCCGTCATTGGTCCAGGAGAACAAGAATTGGCCAAGGCCCGTGACCTCTTGTCATCTACAGGTCTTGGTCTTGATGAACGACTTGAACGGGAACATGAAGTGCGCATACTCGTTGATGCACCCCTACTAAAGTCTGAGCATCGGAGGGAGAATGCAAAAGCGTCTTCCAGCGTATCTGAGGACTGTTTTGACTGTACGGAGGGTAAAGGGTTGCGGATGTTTGAAGACACTGCTTTGCTCGACCCAGAGGATGAATTGACAAATTCGGCTATAGTGGAGCAGCTAAAAATCAACCAGAGTGCTGAGTTTGACAACCGACATCAGTTTCTAAAAAACGCATTTGATAGTAAGTTTTCCATTTCATGCTTAATGGTCGACATGAAGCGTAAAATCGAGTTTCATCCTAATTCCCCAAATCTGACAGCGAATATAAGGTTTAGTTCCGTCAATTGATGGTATTTGGCCTTGGGCGGTCGTTTTGAAACTCGTACATTCTTTCAGTACGTAATGCCTCAACAAAAGTAGTTAATTTTTGGCTAACGTTAAGGCTAAATTGAAGCCTCGTACTTGATATTAAACAATGCTCCTCATTATTTACATAGAATCTAAAAAAATAAATGATTATCCACTGATAAACTACCCAAAAAAATACGGAATTAATTTCACTGAGAAGTCTCCACAGACTTCGCTAGTGGGGTAACCCTCTGTCATTCTGATTTGCAACCACTGCTATCAAGGGTAGCAGCTAGTTCACCATGTGAATAAAAACTAATTTTGCTTATGCCTAGCCATTTGGAAGCTATGGCTTACAGTTAGGTCGATGCGAACTCGTCACGGCTTTTTGTCCTATGTTATCTTACCTCTTCCTAATCGATTGAATGAACTTTTTTAGGTGCTCGTTTTTTGGCACCCCTTTGTGCAATAACCCCGCTATCTCGTTGTTTTACATTAAGTTTTGTTAATTTTTTTTTAGATCTCGGTTGGGAAGGGACAACAAGTCGCAAAAATTGGAAACAGCTTATATACAATCCTGGTATAGTTTTCTTTTACTATTACACTACCATGATTCGTTTCACAGTTGTGTTTAGTTTTTTTTCTTAAAATCACGTCAAATAGGGTCTTTTTATCCCAAGTTCAAATTATTTTAGATTACTGATCCACTCTTAGATAACATCATCACGCGTTGAACCAGTCAGTAAAAATAGTGACCCTGTTGTAATATAAAATCACAAATCCACCAGATTCTATCCAAAATCTTTCGCTTATGCTTGTGTAAGTCATTGTTAGGCAAATTTTAATCTATTAAATCAGTACTTGCATTACCTTAGTCTATTTATGAGGACGCTAGTCCAGATTTTGGGGTGCGGTATGTTATTAAAAATTTAAACGGGTGTTGCACGTGTTTCCTTTTTTCGCACGGATTTTTAACTTTCTTACCTGATTTGTAGCAGAAGAGGTGACATCCAACAATCCCGGGGCCTCAGCCCTTACGGGAGAAATGTTCCACATTTCTACAGTTGTTGAAACTTCGGCTTACGATGACGTTACTTTACCGCAAAGTCACATTGACCAGTTCTTCCCAAACTGGCGCTTATCGGCCTCGACTGTACTGATCGCTAACCGCTTTGCCACTGGCGAGTGGAATGCGTCTGAAGACGCCGAACAGCTCTTGGCAGCGGACGCTAATGCTGTGCGAGCCATGGAGAAGGTAAAAGCACAAAAGTTGACTAAAGCGGCGGGGAGCAGGATAAAGTATAAACCGGATAAGGAGACCGCCGCTGGCAAAGAATTTCATTCTGGTCTCCTAGAAGATAATGAAAACGACTCAAGTGAAATTGAAGAAAACGAAGACGAAGAAGAACTATGCGACCCAACCGGAGGATTTGAAAAGGTTCTTACTTTTGTGTGTGCGTATGTGTGTGTGTGTGTGTGTGTGTGTGTGTGTGTATCTAAGCTACCTATGGACATCTCAAAATGTTTGACTTATCGGTCCACTTGTTTCACTTGGCTTCAGTTGTTTTATTCGTTCACTTCCATTTCATGGGTAACTTTTACCTTCCTAATTTCCACCACTCAAATCAAGCAGATCACCTTAAGTACAATGCAGTTCCGAAGTCGCTGTTACGCAGAAATTTATTTTTCAGCGCTTAAAATCCATTTTGAAAACGTTATGTATGCTTTAAGAGTTTGCTGCGCCCAACAAAACGCCAACGTATTCTTGAGAAGCGTCGGCGTCACAAGGAGCTTTTTGATCGTCTTTACAATGAAGCGCAGCAAGGCTCGGGTCCAGTAAATGAACCAGCGACCGCCTTCTACGACAGAATGACCGCTAGAAAGGAAGCTCAGCAACAACTGAATCGTGAAGTCTTGGCGAAATTTCCAGCTAACGTTCGCGAGACAGTAGAGGGTGCACCTCCTGGCTCATATATTCGCCTTCAAATTTCCGGTAAGCGTTTACAAACATTGAGCTTTTTGATTTGCTGGCCTCTCCATTTCCTTCACAAGATTTTCCTGTATGTGAAGTCCTCGATGTTTACATGCTGTCCTTGGCTGCATGAAAGCATCGTTGGTACCAATTACATCTTTGTCCCAAAATGGTTTATTTGGGCACTGGAAATGTGTTATTGAACACATTATACAGCCACCATAACCGTCACTGGCTCGTTTCGTTTTGTTTTTCTGTTTCTTATGTTTCGCTATCTCGGTTTTGTAGTAGAATCCTTCCCTAATTACTTTCTGACAGGCATTTTGGGTCAATTATCAGCCTTATTGTAGGTGCCGGTCTCGGTTGTTCTGGTGCTTTAACGTGTAATACAATCTCGTACAAAACCACCTAATCCTGAGCTGGCCATAATTTGTGTTTTTGCAAAATTACTGAAATTTCAAATATAGCTTTTCCCGGTAGTTATCCTCCCATAAAGACGGACGGCGCGTAAATTCGAAAGCAGTTTTTTTTCAGTTATTTCAACCTTAATCATTGAAGAATAATTACTTTAATGAAAACTCGTCGTGAACAAAGCTGTCGTTTGGCGTTACTCGTGGATGCAAAAGGGAAATCTTAGTTCCAGCAATCAGCAAAGCTGTTTCTGCTCATTTAGTTTTCACACGAACGTGTCTCAAGCACATCACAATTATTGCCACCAACCGTCATGGTGGTGTCCACCTGGGATAGCACGTTGTAATGCTGTCCTGCTGACACCTTTATTAAATGGTAAAAAACATCACGATTGTAGCAAAAGCTGTCGAAATCTCAGTCTAATGGGGATTCGTGCTGGTGCACATAAATTCAGATTGTTTTGACTAATGTACTACTGATTGATTTCGGCTGTCTGTACAAGGGAATGTTGCACTCTTGTTTCTCTTAGGAGTTCCCTACCAATTCATCGAAAATTTCGACCCTCGACAACCCGTTATAGTAGGCGGAGTGGTTAAGGGCGAGGAAGCCAGAGGCTTCATCCAAGCTCGATTCCAGGCGCATAGGTGGTTAAAGGGTGTCCTTAAATCAAATGATCCCATCACCGTGTCCATTGGCTGGAGGCGGTATCAAACCGTTGGCGTTTTCTCTCGGTAAGTTAACAGAATTATAGGATCTCCATAGCTTATCTGATGCTTAATAAAAAGGCACTATGTTGTAAAAAGCTTTTTCCCACACAACACTAGCAACTTGGCGATCTATTGAAAATTTTTAAGCTAGCCACTTTTAGCTTAAAACGGTGTTTAGCGGACCTCCACATAAGTGCTCCCGTGACCTGCAATAAACTCCATTAATTTCACAAGCAAGATCTGACGCATTATTGTGTACTGGATTGAAAGTAACAGTCTTTTTCTACCCCATTGGCATTTTCAATGTCTTATGTCCTTAATTCTACTTATGTTTGTACTGAGCTCGCCCTTTCCAATTTTACATGTTATGGTCTTACGCAGGCTTAAACTGACATTTTATTTATCTTACAAGTACAATTTCATTATCTTGATTATTTACAACCGGATTTTTTCCTATAATTATACTGAAGATAAATTTTCAAGCAGTCTCAGTCGTCGGACATTAATGCACCCATCGCTGTAGAACATACTATAAAGTGATCACTTCTGCCATTTCATATTAATGGTGATTTACATTAACGATACAGGATCTTTATTTTTACACACTTACGTGGGCTTTGGATCTTTATGCAACGCTGAATTGGTTACCGTTAAAAAACTCCACGCTTGCTTGATTTCGTCGGATTCTTCCTTTTTGACATTTCCGATTGCTCACGATAGCCACTGTACTAGCCGTTATTCGGTGTTTGTTAATTCTAGTGATTTGATCTGGCTGTAATTCAGCTTTATTAAGTGCGCATCTGTATTCGAGTTCGTTCATTCTCTATTCAGCGTGTATGAAATGGCTCACGCACAAGACATATCTGTCGATTAATTTGCTATTTTCAGGGAAGAACACAACTTCCGGAAACGCTACTTGAAGTATTCGCTGGCTCACGAGCACTGTCATGTCACCTTCTATGGGCCAGTGGTCCCAGCGAAAACTGGTGTCATCGCATTTGTCAATTCAACATGGAGAGAACAGGTAATAATATACCGGTTTTAAGTGCTTTCACGGATGCAATATTTCGGCTATTCCTTTTAAGCTAATGTGGCGGTTTTGGGTTTTAAGCCCACATTTCGACTGGCAATGTGGTCTCGGATTGTGGTTTGTGCATTACCTTCACAATCACATGATTTGGTTGTGAAACTATCGTGAACAGTTACCGGTGCACGCATTTGTTCAACTCCACAGGGTAATGCTCGGCCGGTCAGGGCGCCTATACTGTTTCAGATTCTTTGCGATTAATATCGCACCCGGGGCGGTAATTACCGCTCTCTTATTAAACCAGCTTGACCTGCATTGAACCTGGTGAAGTATCCATCATATCTTTGCGGGCATCTGGCCCAACACACCGTCGTTTTAACGTGTCAGACGTCGGGGTACGGTTTTGGCGAACCACGTAAACGTGTAATGAACCTAGAGTTGCTCTAAATTTCTTTTGAGAGTATAAGTTGCCTCATTTACCTTTCCATAATGAAACACTGCTTAGAAGACTAGTGTAAACAACAGATTACGACAGTTTACTACTCTTTCTGGCTGTTTCCGCGAACGCACACAAAATTTCAAGAGCTTTCTAAAATCTTTTAATGTATTGCAACGCTGCAGACAGGCTACTACGCCTAACCATCATATCCAACTACAGTAAGCTGAGCACGTGATACGTGAATCCCAAAAAATAAAACTACCATTTTTAACTTCACGTGATCGTTACATTATCATCAGACGCACCTGTAAGTACGCTAACCCCTTGTCTGATGTTATTCACTATCATACAAAAGACAGTCATTGCTCAAAGCAGGGATCGGGTTACGCTCCCGTGTAGCCCAGGCGACCTCGAGCGCAATTATGATGGAAAGCTAATTTCTAAATGAATGAACCACTTGGGTAGTGGCGGTTGAAATGAATACGAAAACTGGCGCGGGTGAGTGTAACCAATGAAGGCATAAAACTGCTGTCTGATGACTTTAGTGCTAATTTATTTAGATACATGCAGTAAAAACGTGAACGAATGTATTGAACTCTGGCGTTTCGATGACTACTGCAAAAAAATGCGAATGGATAAAGAAGTAATCAGTTTGCTTTCCTCCTTAGACAGAGTCGTACGTGTCACCGAAGTTCAGAATTGCTGGTGTTGGCACTGTGACCGATTGCAACGAGTCTTTCCAGATTATGAAGAAGCTCAAGCTGGTTGGCTATCCGAGCAAAATTTTCTCAAAAACTGCATTTGTTCGCGGTATGTTCAATTCGGAACTGGAGGTGGCCAAAATGATCGGTTCCAAAGTCCAAACTGTGTCAAAAGTCAGAGGTATTGTGCTATTTTGTTACTTCTATAGCATTTATTTACTCTGTCGTACTACACGTCAAGCTCCCATTCAAACGTACGATTCGCTAGTTAATTGATTTGAGCCCCGCGTCCAGTCTTGTATTGGAAGTACGCTTTCGATGGTCTTCATTTACATCAACGACACTTAAATTATTTTTGTGCTCCATTAATTGAAACAAGTATTCGGCAACGAGATTTTGGCCGGTCTTTTAACTTGAACTTTTGTAGAAGCGCTCACTTTCGAGACTAACTTGTACAGAACTTTCGTTTAAAGCAATCAGTTCCCGGAATTGCAGCTTAGTTTGGTGACATCTGTATGAAGTGGCTGTACCTTTGGTGTTGTAACTGAAGCGGATTCCTGATACGCATTGGGATTGGCCTATTGATTTGATTTCCTCGGGGAAGTGCATTTTGTGTGCCTATCGCCATGAGGTAGGCTCTCAGGTTTAATTGACACGCGGGGAACTAGCTGTTTTGCGATTTTTAGTGCCAATCATACTTTGTATATGCTTAACGTGTTTCGCCTTTTTGCAGGCCTAATAAAGAGCGCCCTTACTGGAACAAGTTGTAGACCTGGAGACTTCCGTGCAACATTTGAGGCGCCCATCAGGAAAGCAGACATTGTGTTTTTACGCACATTCGTCCCGATTGAGCTAAGGCCCTTTTACAACCCGATCCCCAACCTCCTTCTGCCTAAAGCGGGAACTGCTGCCAGTGGTAACCAGTGGAGGATGCTGAGGACAGTTGGTGAACTTCGCTTCGAAGTCGGGCTCAAACCTGAGATCAAAGATGACTCGAAATACAAGGTAAATTTATCTTTGGTGGCTATCGTATCACAAGGAACTCTACTATTCACTTTGTCTCGAGGGTTTCTTGTAGATCGTTAGCAGACGGGATGAATTTTCTGGTTGTATACCATTTAGGTTTTCCTTGGTTTGTTTTGATTGGATAAGGCAATCAAAAAACTAAGGAAACTCATTACTATGTTATTTCTTCCCCCTGTCTGTTTTTGCCGCTGCTTTCAAATTGAACTTAGCTTTTGCCGTGTGATATCCTTCGCGTGCCTGTCGCGAAAAATAATCCACACTCACATCCAACTTGAAAAACAGCAGAACCTCGACTACTGACTTGGCTTTTTCCGAATCAACCTAAGACCTGACATTGTTAGTGAAACTTTTTTACACCAGTAGGTACATCTCGGAGAAGCGTTTTCTGGTTAAGTGTTATAAGGGATTATTTTTAGAAGAATCAGTATTTTGATTTAAATCACAGACTGGGTGGACCATGTGACCCACAACTACGATGACACTGTTAAACTACTTGTTTTCGGCCAATCAATATTCCCCGATGTTGCTAAGTGCCTATCATGTTTTTTTGTAGGAGCCCCAACGCGTGCCGTTCGTCCCAGCTCCACTGGCCGTTCCTACCAAACTCTTAACGGCTTTGCCTTTTGCTGACAAGCCCAAATTAAAAAGGAAACAACTTAGATCCTTGCGACACAAGAACGATGAGGTCCATCGCGCACTCAAGGACAATATACCCGCTCCTGTCAATGTTGACGGGATATCTGGTGTACCCGATCCTGTAGGTCACTCCCATGAACGTGCCCTACTTATCCAGCGTCTGCGCCAGTTGCATCAAGCTTTCCAAGATAAGGAAAAGGAGAAAATGATCGCTCGAACATCCCAATATAAGGCAAAGCGCGCGTTTGAAACTCAGCTAGCACTGGCACGCATTAAAAAGAGGCGAAAGGAATTCTTCGCACGGCGGGGTGGACGTGTCGGGGATGGCGACAGAAAGGACTGAGTGGGAACGATCAGCTTACTGTAAACACAAAAGTCATACCATGTATACTAATTTCCCATATAGTCGTTTAAATTATTGTACCGTATAACTATCTTAGCGTTGGATTGCGAATCAGAGGTGTACGTGCGTGCAAGTTCTTACCATGTTGCTCTTGAAGAACTTTCCATAAAGAGAAAAAAAAGTATGAAAAGTGTAACTTGGTAAAAATGGGATTGTTTATTATGATAATCTTAAGATAGCTTAAAAACATTTAATAAATGATGATAATGAAGTGTATTTGGGGAAATCACAACCCGCATGGAGATAATCACAGTCTAGGAAACGGCCGGCGGTTCCTGGTCATTGCCCTAGGAGTGGAAGTAGTAGTTAAAGTACACCGCTGAGACTGGAGCAAGCAGTGTGAGGGCAATAAAGGTGGGCCAGTGTGTGTTCAATGAAGGTCGTTGTATGTAGGTTAGCCAACTGTTTGCGGAATGTTTTTTGTTGAAATAGTACGTGGATTATGGAGGCAGAAAATTGGAATTCAAGGGAAAGAATGGGCTGGGTCGTGGTTGCATGATGCAAAGACCCCATGGTGACGTCACACTTTCCAATAAAAAAAGGATTATTAGAAAAACGGGTTACGGGTAATCAGACACTAGATGATGTCAATAGTTGGCAGTCAGTTTCTAGCACTGCATTTGATCGGATTTGCTCGAAGTAGTCGGCGCACGTTGATTCCAGAGGGGAGATTCATAATAAAGGAACAGTCAGGAAATGAACCAGACATTTGTGAGTGAAAATGAATACATTGACATGTACTAACTATATAAATCAAACAAAAGCGAAGGGTTTTTTGGAAATATTAGTATGCTTACACCAGAGGGCCTAGGCTTCTTTGGCACATTATCAGCACCCGGCCGAACGGCGCGGAAGGCGAAAACGCCGGTAGTAATGAGAAGCCAGACTAGCAGGAGCCCATACATTATGGAGATCTCACCATTCCCTTGATTTGCTAATTGGTTTGTTGGGTCCTCGTGACAGACTACGTCGTTACAGTATGCCTGAGACTGCCGAAGAATGTTTAACAGACGCCGCATTGAGCTCTCGTGGTTGAATACGCACTCACAGGGATCCCAACCATCACCCAACATATCTAAATAAAGTGAGGGTTGTAAGCATAAACTCTTGGGTCATGTGAATGAACTATCTATAAACAATACCACCAGAGAGTTGGTCCACTTTTGCTTAAAAACATTGGAATTAATTACCAAAAAATAATTTGGGAGAATCATTTTTCCATGCCAGTAGGTACATATTGTAAAACAGTGAATAAAGATGTGAATGTATATAATTTGGCGTATGCATATGGATAAAGATACAGAATGATATGTGGATTCTGCACGGCTAGATGGAATCGAGATTGTGGTATCTAAACTGCTTCATCTAAAAACCTTACAAGAAGTTTGTACTGTTTTTTTTTCAACAACAAAAACAATATTTGGAAAGAAAATTGGCATGGAATCTACAATACCTCTAGAGGACGAAGTGTGCTTCAGGTGGATTACAGAAAAATGAGGAACGACATTCTCATTAGTAATAAGGTTTGAATATCATAACCAGAATCGCATTAATTTGTAAACAAATAGCAAAATATTGCAGCACAAATGATATTGAAGGTAGCTACCGAATGAAATTACGCAAAAAACCAGACGGTAGCCTCTAAAACCAAACGTTAGGAACACGTATATTTAATACCATTTGGCTCATTAAAACACGAAAAGCGAAATCATAGATTTTTTTAAATTGCAAATATAGACGTTTGCTAAGATAAAAAACATTAGGTTTCCAAAATACACGAATGCTTTACGTTTTGCTCCAACTTATCTCATTTAGGCTCAAAGAACAGAGGTTTATGAAAAGGCATCACTGTAAAAATTCAATGTACCAACTTTAAGACACGAAAAAAATTATAAGGCTGCATTATTTACATTAACAATTGAATAACGCACCCTCAAATGCGAATTTTAATTCTATATTTCTATATTTACACTATTATTTGTCGTCGTTCGACTGCATTCATCGATGTAAAATGAATGAAATTACATTTACAATTGACTGCAGCATTGTAGCATGTCCATCTGCAACAAAGAAAACAGTAATTACGAACTGGCAAAGTACTGACTCAATTTACTTTTACCGCTAAGGCTACTGTCGAATTTATCAGTGGTCATTTTAGTGAAAATCGCTTCGTCGTAAAATGATTTATACATAAACTGCTTTCTGACTCCTTTTTTTCTGACAGATATAACACAAAATTGGTCTTAACAAAACACTTATTTCAGCTAGTAAAGCCTTAATATCAGCTTATGGTTTTGTAAAAAGAAAAATGTAAAAAATATCAATGTAAAAATATCACATTATTGTCTAATTGTTACGAATTGATATGGATTTTACGGAGTACTTTTTGCTAAAGTTATGTATATACAAATTTCGCTCAGCCAAATTAAACTTGCAAAGGTGTGCTACACATGCAAAACACACGACCATGTTTTAAATAATTCTGCAATTAAAAGTCTAATCTTCGTTCCTTCACAAACCAGCTGTCTCGCGCAACCAAAAAATGCCCTGTTTCGTAATTAAAAAGAGTATGAAAATAATTTAATAATGAGTATATTGACTTTAAAAGCTGTTAAAAAACTTTGCTTAATTCTGCATTTGTCACTAGGAAAGGAACAGGGTCCGTTTTTGTAAGCTCGAATATCGCGTTTTCAAACTGAATTTAAAAACGTTTACCCAAGCATTTGGGCATAAATTACTACTATAAAATAAGAAGAAATTGAGACCGAATATATTAATTAGAAATGCTAGTGTAATGCAACTTTTCTAAATAATAGACTGTCGTAATTATAATTTAAACAATAGGAAAGGTGCATTTACTAAAACAGCACATGGCAAAAACAATTAAAAAAAGTATTTCACTTTGTTAGTTTGTTTTACTATATAAAGATACCTTAAATAATACTCGTGCGCGCTTTACGAATATCATTTGGTTTTTGGGATTGCTAATCTTTTGACAGTTGTGGCGGGATTTATGTTTGCAACTGATGGGAATGAACTCGTTTTTAGACTCCTATGAGAATTTTCGTGAAACTGGTTCTCTCGTTTATTTTGAAAAATGTTCAGATGTAATGCACTTTACGCTTATAGTCTGATTTCAGGACCTTCTCCGCCAACAAGATGATATTTTTTTTGATTTGAGTGAAGAGACCTTCGACCGTCTTAATTCTTTTTTCACGTTTTCCTTGTGCTCCCCAAGTGGCATGCCATTAAGACCTGCTGCTCTTAATATTATTTTAAAATTTGGTAAGATGTAAATTATCGATCATCAATTAAGCTGACAATTTGTCAAGTCGTTTTATTCTTCTTCACAAGTTGTCCATACTTAAACCCCTTCTTCATGCTGTATATGAATGGAAGGATGAGAAACGTTCTCTGGAGGTTTGTAGATTTCGCCGGGGTGGTTAAATTTTGTAGGCATTAAAGGCATTTTATAAATGCACCTTTGAAATACATTATATGGCTCTAGAGTGTGAGGATGAGATTCTTATTCGAGGTGCTAGACAAGCAATAGCTATACTAAAAACACCTCGTGATACTGAGAAGATTGAAATTTCATTAGGGATTCTGGCCAACTTGTCACGAATGACATCCGTTATTCATAAGGCTCTGCGGAGTCGGGTATGTGTGCTGTGTTGTTTTTATTTAATAGGATGATTTTGAGGTATTGCGAAAAATATTATTGCATATTATGAATGAAGAATTATCTACACAAGTGGAACTCGTCCTTTCAATGACGGTTATTTTTCATTTATGGGGAATCCAGGACAAGGTAACCGCTTTCTCGTATGAGGGTGTAAAATTAATATACCAATTAATACCCTGATGTTTTCTTTCGCGTAGTTTTTTGATCGTCGAAACTTTCACTCGTCAGTACAAATTCTTTTTAATATCCTACTAAATGGTAAATTTTCTGTGGAAAGTTTGTACGCTGGCCATATCCTTATTGAATTCTGTATGAACCCGACCTCTTTTGCACTGGTCAAATCGTAAGCCGCATGCTTTCCTTTTACTATGGTTAGCCACCCAGCTCTGCATCAGACATTGGATGAAGTCGTCAATCAGTTGAATTCGAATAACTCAAAACTAGTCCACACTGTATAGAGCTTATTATTTTTAACTGAATTTGTAGTTTGTGGAGTTTCTTAAGTGTCTGGTTAAAAATGACTTGGAACTTTGTGCATATACACGAAGTCGATGTTTCAATTTTAACTCTGACAACGAGGCTATTGGCGTTATTCCTGGTATTTGCCGTCATCTTATGCAGCTAAGTGATCACTTTTTGGCTGCTTCCACAGCAACGCTTATATTTGAACTGGAATATTGGGTTTGTTCTTTCTTTAATCTCATTGTTTGTAGTATTCAAAGAGTCCTTCTGTCAAGCTAACGTCTCCTATTGCTTACAACGCGACACTTGTACAACTCCTTTCAGTTATTACTCAGTCATTGTCGGGAATCGGGGTTGAGAAATGCACTTTAGAGACTGTTTATCGCAATCGTGTGATATTACGATGTGCCTCTTTGCTTGTTCAAAAAACAGCGGAAGCTTGCTGTTCTTTGGATTCTGAATCGGTTGGCACCTCTGCCAGTCATGTTGCTCGACTCGCCTCTACTATACACTCTCTAGCTCGGCACAACCTCGAAAGTAATATTCAGCTTTCTTCTTTTCTAAGTAAAGTCCGTAAAGAAAAAGAAAATATAGGTGATACTGCACAGGCAAATGTGGTGTAAGTTGAAATTTGATTCTTTACTCAACTTTTGTAAATATACCTTGACCATTTATTGTCACCGCAGGATGTCGTCGATGTTGCTCACAGTTGACTCCCTGGACCTGTTGCTTGTTTGCACCGATTTTTTCTCAACTGCCTCACCGATTTCACAAAAATCCCCGGATAACACCGGTCCTCTAGATCCGGATGAAACACGCATAGATTGCACGCCCCAGATGGCTGAAATGCACCTCCACGAAGAGGGCTCTGTTGTGGGTCACCTTCACAAATGCAGCGATGCTCTTCAGCACTGCCTCGAGACTCCGACAGTTGCTCCCATGTTGGCGCTTGTTCTTGTTTTGGGAGACGAAGTCCCTAGTGGAATTTTCTGTTGTCGAGCAGCCGTTCTCCGTCTGCTGAAAATTGCACTCAACTTGGAGAAATTCTCTATATCTACGTAAGTCTCTTAGAGTGGTTTCTTACATTGGTTTTAACCTCTTTTTGTAGGTATATCAATTATTGGTCAAAAGTTAGCCCAATCTTTACTGTAACTGTCATCTGTGTGACTCTTCTCTGTGATAAATATCTTTTTTCTAAAATATCGATCAATTGAGTTGAGTTCAGAATTCTTAGCCAGTAGTAAGTCAATTGTAGCTTTTATTGATTATTTGCGGAACATCTTGATTTGGCGCATAATAAACTGTTCTTATTAACTCAAAATATTGGTACGAAATAAACGTTGGTATCTGACTTTTTTTTTATTTTTCCTCTCATCTCACGGTTCTTTCATTTTTGTACACAATCTGCAACTGGGTGTGGCAGAACATGTTAAAATTCCTAGACGCGCTTTGTTTTCTTGTGGCCCGACTGTTTCGCAGCCCTATTATTACGCTTGCGACTGTGGTTGAGGACTTCCTTCGTCGGGCATGCATTATAGTTGTGTGCGATTCCACTTGTGAGACATTAGGGGCTAATTGAAACGTGTTTTCTTTTAGATTTTTGTCAACCTTCAGCGAAATTTTACCGCCAGGAAGTCAATCGATTGATCAATACATAGCATCCAGGTTGTTAAACAGCGGACGAAAAAGTTCTTGCTCCCCGAGTTTTTCTTCAGAGTGGATAGCCGCTACTCAGCCTCACTCTCTAAGCAATACGTCACAATGTCCTTGCAAATCGATTCCTTTTTCGGTCCGTCACTCCTCTGAAGCTATTCTTGATAAGCTTTGCAATGCATTGAATAACTCCAGTTTATCGGTCGTAAGTTGTCTGTTTAGTAAAATACCGCCAACATGTTTGTTGTCTCACAATACTTTGGACACCTCGTGCCTTTCCATTATTTTACTATTGCCGCAATATACAGTGCAAGAAGTCGCATCTGATTTCGTGTGTGGCAAAATGCTCTCATATCTTTATTGGTTTTTCAATTTTTCTGGCAATTCGTCTGGTTTGATTTAGTGTTCGCCATTGTTGCCTGATATTATACTCTTTAATTATCACGAATACCCGGTAGAGCCGCTTAAAGCATTAGTCTTCCCTCAAAATTATTTTGCGCCTCGAATAATCTAGCTGCCTTTTCGGAAAATATTTTTTTATGACGAATCAGAAGTCGATGACAAATTTGGTAATTTATGTAGGAAGCACTATTTTGCTTACAGTGCGTTTTATGCTTGGTAAATTGAATGCAATAATAATTATGCATTCCCGAAAAGTGTGCCATTGATGAATGTTGAGGCGACTATTGGGGGAAAAAAGAGAAACTCCAAACAACGTTACAGCTAACTAGTATGATAGAGAGAAATCATGTCTGACCGATAAATTTAATTCTGAACATGTGGAATTGATGTATAGTGAGACTTTCGAGTAAATTTGTTAAGATACCATTGGTTACTTGCAAGGAAGGGCTGCAGCACTGCTGCTTTGCTTCATGGTTTTGCAAAACCAATTCCTTGGACGAAGACACAAAAGTCTCATTAGCAGAGGCAATTCTTGAGCAATGTATTACATCCACTGTAGAAGCTAGTGGGGGTTCAGCAGTCATTTCAAACGAAAAATTTGATAAATACAAGATGTTTATCAGATTTGGGCTTGTTGAATTGCACAAAATGTGCACATGGCAATTACTTCTCCTTAATTCAATTGAACGAACGTGTCCCATGGCCATCAGGAGTGAAGGCAAGTGGCTCGTGCGTCTGATCTCCAAATTTCTGCCATGCTTATCGACCAAAACGTGTTGAAACGTCGCACCAGAAATATAGGTTGGATTTTTTCATTTGACACTATCGAGTGTAATCACTCGAGTTTGACACTCGAAGTTTAACTCACAGTCTCTCTGTGGCTGGTTCGAGAGGTCGCTTTCGCCTTCCTACGGACGCTTGTTAATAGATTCTAGAAGTGCGTTTAAATTTCGAGTCCTTTTGACTTGTGTTTGTGCACCAATGCATTCACTTTTTTTTGATTGCAGGCAACTATTTCGGGATCGGAGGCCATGGCTATTTGTCAACAAAAAATTGAGCTTCTCAAGGTAATTGGTAATTTCCATTGAAATGGTCAAATTCTTGGGTCTAAGTAAATCAAGTTAAATGGATAGTCTGTAGATTTTTGTCCGTTGTGAAAGTGTGCTTAAAGATGAATTGAATTGGTTACTAGCTTCGGTTAGTAGCCCGTTTTAATTGTTAATTGTAATTTCGAGAAGCAAGTTGGTTCAATTCCCGCCCACAAGTAATGAACGCCATGAACGTTGCCTCCGTTGAAATAGATGTACATCCAAACTATATAAGGGGCAAAGTTAAATAACAACACGGGCATTGCTTTTGCACACACCTAACATAAATTTAAATTTTTAAGGTGATTTTTTGGTATAGCTTATTTACAGCTTTGTACGGCAAATCATCGAAGCACAGTAGATGTGTCGCCTTCACCGTAATCACGTTTTTGTAGCCATTTTAAGTGTTTTAGATAATTTGGCTTTAGTAATTACTTGAATTTATGAAACTGCAATTTTAATTCGCTCTACTGTCGCAGGATCGTCGTAGAACTTTTTAATGACCGTATCGCCATAATCCTAAAGGCTATTAGTTTAGTATGAAGGAGCACGTAATTCGGCAGGCTGAGTTAGTGTTGCGAACGGCAACCTTTAGGCTTGGTCCTCAATCTTCTGGTTCTGTTGACACGTCTATGGCAAATGCCCACTCTAAGGGAATCGGTAGGTGCAGGCTTTCCAGGAGCCCCCAAATCCGATCAATTCGTTCTCACGACATCAGAAAATGCCCTGCTTTTGTGCTCCACGGGTGTGTGTGTTGTGTGTTTTTGCGTCATTTCGGTGTAGTCAAACGAGGCCGTGCTGGAAGCCGATGTGGCAGCCAAAACAGAGGCGCTGCGCGCTTCGGACGCGATCGCGGAACACTTTCGAGCCCGCGCCCTCCTGGCCGAATCGCAGGTCTCGCGTCTCCTGCGCCTGCAGATGAGTGCCCTGGCCAACGCCGAAGACAGCCGAGCCGACATGGAGGCGCAACGTGAGCACATTGCTAGGTGAGGTTGCATTCTCATGTTTCAGTTGTTAAATTGGGCACACCTATTTTCCATTAGCAAGGTTTCTGGAAATAGTCAGAAAGACCGCAGTGGTGCCTGGGTCATTACTTACACATAAAGTTTTCAGGAGTTTTATTACACCGTTTCTGGTAATCTTAATTACACTTGTGTCCGAGTGTTTGCAACTATGACAACGGGGTAATATGAGCGATCTGCCCCACGAAATTTGCATACAATACTTCACGTAGTATTCGTCCTCTAGTTTCTCACCATTCCATTATACCCAGTGTGGGTCTGCGTTTGTTTACACTCGCGTTTCCATAGATCGCAGAGGTCGCTTGTGCTAATTTATTTACTTCCTCGTTCCACTGACCGGTGTAGTTTTTCTAATAGAAGAAAAAAGATACTTTCCACTGAGCTGTGTTTTTGTGAGGTGCTTGGTGTTTCGTCACTAAATCTTACTTAGTAGTGTAAAAAATGGTGATACCCAAAGAAGAAATGTATAACATTCAAATAGCTAATGCAATTTAACCATCCCAATCCTGCGATCAAAAATGAAGATATTGAAACCACTTGCTTTACACTGGTTCTATGCTCAGCTCATGGTGTTTATTCTTGGCATTGCATTTCACCGTCGGAAGGCGTTTATTGGGTTGCATGTCCCCGCAGGAAGTGCAAGTCGTTATTCAAGTTTTTCGCAATTTCGACCGGCACCTATTCTCCATTGTAGACTTGAAGAGGAGAATAAACGCCTCTTTGACGAATTGGCTTCTAAACAGAAGGAGTGTGAGAGTAAGTTTCCTGGTTAACTCTGAACATAGGTTTGCATGTACACCGATTGTCTTGTATTGAAAGTTATCCTCGACCCTTTCTTGTGCTCACAACACTGCTGTGTCAGTAGTTAGAGGTCTCTGCCTTTGCTCCCCCCGTGTGGAATTTGACCTTTTCAGCAATGCTGTTCGGTTCTTATTAGGTGAACTTGCTCGTTCCGTTTTGTCAAATCGGTAGCTCTCGCTTTAACTTTTCACCTCTCTAATCCTCTAGTGAGGTAGTTCATAATAAGGGCCATTTTCCGTAGTTTTGGGTTTTCGCGACTAAACCACGACTCTTTAAGTCTGGTTTCCATCTAGTCTCGTGGCAATCATTAAAAGAATCCATTATTTAACCTGGCGACTTTTACTTGTTGTGCATCCTGAAATCCAAATTTGCGGTTTCCCGTGCGTGAAAGCACGCTACTGCGCTTTTACTGGTCGTTTGTCAGAACGAGAACGGAGGATACCTTTTCTTCGATGCACTCAAATGGGTTCCAAGTCGCGTTGCTACACTCTCAACTTCCCATGATTCTTCTGTGACCTTCAATTGCTAATTTTTCCACCCTACGCAGATTTGCAGTCGACGCGGCTGAGTCTGCAGAACAAAATAACGAACATGCGTGACCAAAACAGAGCCATGGATGCGACCATCGACAATTACAGAAAACAGCTGGATGAGGCGAAACAGGTCATTCAACAAAAGGACACTGAGGTACGTCGTCGTGATAAGCCTTTTATACTCGAGCTGGGTTAATTTAACTTGTGGGCAACCGCTGGCAGCCCAACTTTACATTAACCTTAATGGCCAAAGTTGATCGACTTCTTGGTTTTCCAGCAATTATTTTTTTGGGCAACACTTTGCACTGGATTTCAGGAATTGGGTCAAAACTATGCTCATGGACGGACATACACATATCAATGCAAATTTTACCTTCAGGGTTTGTGATAAAATTGATGCGGACATTAAAGTTAGCGCTTCACTGAATTCGAATGTTGCCCCTGCTGACAGAGAGGAGTTGTACAGATGAGACTGTGAATTGTGCTATTTCCAATTACGCTTAATGTTGGCACCGGAAAATTCAGCAAATAATTGATAGTTTTACAGGATTCCTTCATAGAAATCTTTTTTGTGTAGACAAATGTGTTGGTTAACTAGCGGTGTAAATTGAAACCTGGATTCCTGGTGAATTTCGATGGTTTCATTGTGTGCTAATGTCTTTCCTTTGTGTTTTTTCGTATAGCTCACAATTTTTACCGTATTGTCTGAGTTTTATTTTTTTTTAACGCCTTTATGACATCAATTAACTCTTATCCAGCTCATGCATTGAATAAGGGCTGTGTGGATATCTGACACCTTGTGATTTGTTTTTTTTTTGACAGATTCAACAGTATACCCATTTGACCCGCCTCATCAATGAATTGACTGGCAATAGGGTATCTCCTGCTGACCTGACAGTGACAAAAAACCCGAGCTAATCCCCGAACTTATTGTTGTCCGTACTCAGTGTCTCTTTCTTCGTGTAGGGTTTCTATGTCAATTCACTGGGGCAATCAATGTGTCTGTCTAACGTGTACATAGGATCTTTTCGTCGAAGTATTTGAATTATTGCACTATTGTTCTGCCGGTTTTGTACTAACTAGTTAGTCCCAACGCAACAATGCTTTTACTCCTTTGTTCTCCTTTTTCCGTTTTTTGATTCACTTTTCACTTTCAATCGGTCGTCGTACCGGCCCCATCAAGCTTCTAAACAATTATTTAAGTGTGTATATTAATTTTAATTTTTTCTATAATGGTGTAGTTGAGGGCATTTGTGGGCGACAAAACTGAGTTGCGGGTATTTTTCCCGTTATTCTTCCCCTCTGATTGTGCATAATTTTTATTCGGCTTTGTGCAACTTCTATTTGCATAATTTAACTGGAACCACGTCGCACTTTTTTGCCAAAATCTATAAAATGACTCGTTTTCTGACCAGGTCATTAGCTGCTCAAACACTGTGGTTGTCGAAATTTTACGCCCTCGTCTGTTTCTCATCACTAACTTTCCACTCCAATGAAAGTACGAAAATAAGTGGGCTATGCTTCCGCTGTAAAATGCATACAAACCCTGAAATAAGACGTGTATTTGCTCTATTTGGCGTAGGTGCTATTTTTCTGACTATGAGTCCGGTGTGAATATTGGCGTTTTCTTGATCCGTGGACCAAATTCGGTAGTCCCTTGCAAACTCGCGTGGAACGCTGGCCACAATTTCCAACGCCTGCCAAGAGTGCGCTTGAGATGGTTTTACTAATCTAATGACAAATCCAAAGAAGCGGGTATGGCATGCAATGGGTGTCCTATGCTGCTTTAATATAATTGCTAACCAAAATCTCTGCTAGCCATATATGTTTGCTTGAAACGGTTGGTTCCCATTTCATTCACCAGTATATCGGTTTTCTCACGTGTTTAACCTGACCAACAGATAATTACCTACTGTTTCTTCGGGCGGCGTACACAAAGCTGGGGTCCTGTCTTAATATAGTTGACTGGAATTAAATAGAGTTTGCGTTTGGACAGGGTGCTTAATTTCAGATTGCGGCAGACCACAATTCATGTCTACTGGTATAAAGCGGTTTTGAGTAGCAATACTGGTTTTTGTGGGGTGTTCGTATCAAGGATTTTGAGCATCGATAATGTCTAATGCGATAGCAAGCAGACAACTGTGGTAAACAAGCATATATCAGTTTTTCTCGCAAACCGATTATGTTAAAATTGGGCTGAAAGGTTTTCATCTTCATGTAGTATGCCTTCATGCATTCAAAAACCCTCACATCTGTATCTCAACAATCTTGGAGATGAGAATAAACTTTAATACTCATTAAAAAGTTTTAGTGCAATAAGTAAAAGGAGAAAAGATAAAAGGGTGTAAAAGTGAAGTACGCGAAAAAATGCATTTGGAGATTACTACACGATGTTGACTTCCTATAAGATTGTGCGAAATTTAGGCCTCTTCTTCATCTTCATCGAACTCTCCCTCCTCCTCTGCAGTGGCTTCTTGGTATTGCTGATACTCACTAACCAGGTCATTCATGTTTGACTCAGCTTCGGTAAACTCCATCTCATCCATTCCTTCTCCTGTATACCAGTGCAGGAACGCCTTGCGGCGAAACATTGCGGTAAATTGTTCACTTATGCGTCTGAACAACTCCTGAATAGCTGTGCTGTTTCCGATGAAGGTGGCTGCCATTTTTAATCCTCGGGGTGGAATGTCACAAACAGCAGTCTTTACGTTATTTGGAATCCATTCAACAAAATAACTGGAATTCTTATTTTGTACGTTCAGCATTTGTTCGTCTACCTCTTTCATGGACATTCTGCCTCGGAATATTGCAGCAACTGTCAAGTAACGTCCATGTCTTGGGTCACAAGCTGCCATCATATTCTTGGCATCAAACATTTGTTGCGTGAGTTCAGGTACAGTTAATGCGCGATACTGCTGACTACCACGACTTGTAAGTGGTGCGAAACCCGGCATAAAGAAATGTAGTCTGGGAAATGGAACCATATTTACTGCAAGCTTTCGAAGGTCTGCGTTAAGTTGACCAGGAAAACGGAGACAGGTCGTTACACCCGACATTGTTGCACTTACGAGATGGTTTAGATCACCGTACGTAGGTGTTGTAAGCTTAAGAGTTCTAAAACATATATCATAAAGTGCTTCGTTGTCGATGCAATATGTTTCATCTGTGTTTTCGACAAGCTGATGGACTGACAGAGTTGCATTGTATGGTTCAACAACAGTATCGGATACCTAGAAAACTTAACTTCGTCGTAAAAAGCATCTTACCTTGGGAGAAGGCACCACGGAAAAGGTGTTCATAATTCTGTCAGCATATTCTTCTCTCACTTTGGATATTAACAAAGTTCCCATCCCAGATCCAGTGCCACCACCAAGCGAATGAGTTAATTGGAAACCCTGAAGGCAGTCACATGACTCTGCTTCTTTTCTAACAACATCCAAAACTGAATCAACCAGTTCAGCTCCCTCGGTGTAATGCCCTTTAGCCCAATTATTTCCAGCGCCACTTTGACCAAATACAAAATTGTCGGGACGGAAAAGTTGCCCGAAAGGGCCAGCTCTTACACTGTCCATAGTTCCCGGTTCAAGATCAACAAGAACAGCTCTTGGAACATATTTTCCACCAGTTGCTTCATTATAGTATACATTAATGCGTTCTAACTGCAAATCGGAGTCCCCATGGTATGTCCCAGTCGGATCTATGCCATGTTCATCTGAAATTACTTCCCAAAACTATAAGGCCATGACATCTATTATAAACAATACCTTTGCACCTATTTGGTTGCCACACTGACCAGCCTGAACGTGTACAATCTCTCTCATTTTACAATTACGTCTTTACGAAAAGGCGCTTTATATAATCATTTACGCTAATAGCTCAAACAAACAAACTATGTCACAACATTAATTATGTAATTTTTTTCCGAAATTGCTCACCACTATTGAAAAAGAAAAATTTAATAAATCATGTTTTCTAGACTAAACATAAACTAAATTGACAGATCTTAAAGAATAAAACACCTGGTTTAAGTGCATGTTAATTTTTGAGGCATAAAATAGTTAACATAGCTCTAACTTGACCTGTTTAAAGCCACTTTAACTTAAATATGCAATATTTTGTGCTAAAAGGTGCAAAAATACGTGTCCTAATAACATTTATGAAATTTTGCAAATTAATATAGGTTAACATGCAAATTGGCTTGCTTAAATGCTCCGTTTTTTCAGCATTTTGCATTTATTTTGGTTACACACTCTATATGGGCTAATAATTATCAAGAATCAAAGTAACCTTCTGATTTAGATCCTAATGCCTAACCAAACATATTTTCAAATTCACCAATATTCTATTAATCCAAGTCACACTGATCCAACGTTAAATATGAAAAGCTGATACTGGCAATAAATATTCTTTATTTCTAAGTCCAAATGATTTCGCTAACGTTTCTCAATTATGATACTTATTTATCCTATTATTTATTACGCTAAATAT